TAAAGTATTCACATGGCAATTGTATATTTCAGAACTTTTTTTTTAATATTGTAACAATAGTACCACTATATTCTAGTAAAAACAGTGGGATTTGTTCACTATCTGCGCCTGCTGTTCTGAACCTTATTAAAATACACAGTCAGCAACATTGTGTCAGAGCAGAATTCTAAAAATGCTCTTAGAAATGTCCCTTGAAGGACATATTTTATCCAGAAGATATAAACAATGTTCACAAAATGATTACAAATGGAATCTCAGCACAGTAGGAAGGATAAACCAAGAGATTAGCATAGTTTTTGCTGTCCTACTGGTTCAAGTGTGAAATGTTTTGCCAATTGGACTGAGAAGGCAAGGAAAACAGCTCTGCGCTATCAGTTTAGTTAGAATGGTCATGAGGCAGCAAGCTAAAAATTAGCCTCATAGAGCTGCACCCACAGAACACCTACTTTAAATAAAAGGTTCTGATAAGGCTGCTATCCAGAACAAAAGCTGTCATGAGATTTCACTTCAATCGCCCTTCCACTTATCACTTGTTTCAGATTTTTCAGTTTCAGCTTAGACATGTGTGGAAAGATGGGAAGAGATGAAGCAGGAGGCTAGGAGCAAAGAACAACTCAGGACAAAAGGACAAACCAGGAGACAATACCAAAAAGAGTACGAAAAGAAAGCCAGCAACAGATGTAAGAAGACTTTGCTGCTCTGACAGGGCTGAACAAGAATAGGAAACCATGTACTCCATTTTTCCCTATGAGGATCTAATGTCTAGTCTGGGCATGCAGAGTCAGCCTAGGACAGTGGTGGCGAACCTATGGCAAGGGTGCCAGAGGCGGCACTCAGAGCCCTTTCTGTGGGCACCCGCACCATCGCCCCAGTCCTAGGCCTTCAGCTGGGTTTTATAAAACCTTTTCGCTTTAGGCCTCCGCCACCGTGTACAAAAAAAAAAGGTTCAATCAATCAATCAATTTCAATTTCTCGTGGGAAAAAAAAAGATCTTGCAAAGTTGGAATTGATTGATTGAACTTTTTAGTCCCATCCAGTTTGCCGTTACCACCGCAGCCACGCCCACCCAATGGGCCACACCCAGCCAATGAGCCATACCCAGTCAATGGGCCACATCCACCTGGCACCCGACGATGCATAAGTGGGTTTTGGGCTGCAGTTTGGACACTTGGTCTCTAAAAGGTTCGCCATCACTGGCCTAGGACTTTGAATTCAAGCAACCCCTGGCTTCAGTTCTCTTGTCATCTAAGAATGCTGTTTACCATTTTGTTCCTAGACATTAAATAATGTAAGCCAATGCCTTTCAAAAAGCCATTGTCTACAACTTCAGGACTATATTTCTCAAATACAGTTGGTGTCAGTGTAGGCCACAGCCAGAAGTCCTTCCTCCCTGCTATTAACTCATAACTATAATATCAGGTAAGCTAACCACAATTTGAAAAAAAGGCTTACCACAATTCATCTAGGTTCCTAATGAATGAACTGCCTACTACATACATTCCACCTTCATCCACCTTTATAAAGATATGTTCTGCTGAGGTAATAGATGGATCTCCTATAACATGTGGTCTTTGTAAGGGACTGTCTGACATGTTTCTCCTATGCTATGATTCTTATTTCCACCATAGTCTTTCTAAATGGTCAAAACAACATTTACATTAAATAAGATTAAAGCTATTTAAAAGGAAAAAAATCATATTAATTTATACTGAACAGACATACAGAAACAGTTTATAATTCCTTCATGGGAATGATCACACTGCTACTACAATCAGTAGCACATATCTCAGATTAAAACTTAAGTTACTATTAAAACTTAAGTTACTAATAGAGAGCAATGAGTTTGGACTTGAAGAAACATTTTTGAGAAATGCTTGAGTATTTCTTACTGTAAAGCATGCCAATACCAGATAACTGGTTCAATTTTAATACTAAGAACACGAAAATTTTTTAGTTCCAGTGAACACACTTCTGTTTTAGTTCTTCCTGGTAGTGAGTCATGATTTACCAAAACAAGGAGGCTCTTTTTGAAGGGTTTATTTGCATCCCCTCTGTTCTTTAGGATTCTACTATCTGTAGCAATCCCAGCCTTTTTTCTTTTCCCAAAGGCTCTGAACCAATTCAACCTACAAAGGCTTGAAAACTGTTTCTTAGCTCCAATGGTCCAAAGTATCTTCTATGACTCTTATTTCAATTATTTCTTTGTTTTCTTATAAAGAATTGGGTTTTTCTCACCTATGAATCCCTGTCATAGCTCCTTTCTTGATTTTCTTGAAAAACATTGTACCTCTCTTATGAACTGAAGGATGGCTATGTCAGCCCTACAAGATAGACCAGATCAGGAAACCAACTCCATAGGAAGATTAGAGCTATACTTTATTGAGAAAAAGTATAGTACCAGAATCTTACAAGCCTGGTTGTGCTTTACCTCTCTTGCCTTTTACACCTCAATGTATCAGGGGTAGCGTCTGCCTGAGTGTCTTCCAAATACAATCTCGTTTCTCAGGACTTAAGGAATGTTTCAGCCTCAAGGTCATCTCTGGACACTCTACAGGACATTTGCTTTCCAATAAGTTTGTGCTTTTTTCAAGGATTGCTACAGTCTTCACAAGTTGTTCTCGAGCAAGAGCACAAACTTGCCACAAACACTACAGATCACAACTAAAACGTCCCTGCTTCTTAAAACAGTAATAGTCATTGCTCGTATTTTTTCTGGTTCTTTTTGCAGACTTTAAAGTTAGCTAAAACCAGGCTGAATTAGAGGGGAAATTGTTTAGGTTCTTCCTTCTGAACTTAAAGCAACTCCAGTTTGCCCATTCCCTATTCATTGGCCCTACCACTATTACAATATTCCTAGACAGCAGTGCAACTATTTCAGGGTATACAATTGGATATCATTTAGCATCGGATTGAGAAGGCAGCTCAAAGACACAAGGCCTTGTAATAATGTTAATTATTCAAGTAGTCCTTTAAAGAACAGAAAATTCAAGAAAAGTCTCATCTTTTTAAACATTAAAATTAAATTAAATTAATTTAAATTTAATAATTATAAAATTTAATAATTTTAATAATTCAATTTAACTAATTTTCTCTCAACTGTCTTTCCTGGAATTGTATTTGTTTCTATACCCAAACCACTACAACCCTATGAATCCTTCAAGATAGGTCAGGTCAAGGAACAGTTTCTACAAGAACTAATGATATTCTGCTTTATCATTATAGGATACAGTAACAGAACCTTGAAAGCTGCTGGAATTTCCCTCTGTACTCTGTTCCACCATGCAGAATCAAGGCAGGGTTATTTTAAGTTTCTTTTTAGACCATATTTTCAATATTATTAAGGAATCATTTAAGCAGATGCAGAATTATGTCACCAATAGTTTATTTCCTATAAACTATGTGAAAAGTTGAGAGAATTTCAACAAAATGGTAGCTGCGGTTTTTACAATAGTAGAAAAAAATACAATAGCCCTACTATATTTTAATATATTCCAATGTGAAATGTAGCAGACTTTATAGCTGTTTTTAACAGTTTTAAAACTGTCCTGTAGAATATACCCTAGGTAAAAACATCCTATGATGTCATTAAAATGAGCCGTGGTGAAGCAGTGATTAGAATGCAGCATTGCAGGCTAATTCTGCTGACTGTCGATTGCTACCAGTTCAAGGTTGACTCAGCCTTCCATCCTTCCGAGGTCGGTAAAATGAGAACCCAGATTGTTGGGGCAATGTGCTGACTCTGTAAACTGCTTAGAGAGGGCTGTAAACACTATGAAGTGCTATTGCTAGAATGAGTTTTGCCTATGAAATTTCTAAAAGTTATTTACCATTTTTTACTGACCATGAGACAATATTTTACTCCAGATATACAGGCTACTAAAAACAAACATGGCAGCGGATTCAAATGGTTGCAGGCATCGCTGCTGAAAAGTATGGGTGCCTTTTAAGATTAGTCCAATTCTGAAATTGCTAAAGAGGACTTTTCTTCTCTGCTGATTATTTCTTCTCACCTCATCTCTAGCTTTGTCCTTCTGGTCTTTCCCATTTAGATCTATTTTCTCCCTCACCTCATTCCATCCTGTTTTCTTCTTTTTTCTATTTTTGCTATGTTTGGGGGATAATAATTGATATGTGGAATAGGGGATCAGTTAATGTTATAAATAAAGTATTTGATTTACATAGATTTTTAAAAGTTGTTGTTTTGTTGCATCTTTTGTTATTGTTGCTGTTCTGCCCTGCCATTTTGGAGTGCGGCTTCTGGCCAATAACTAACTGCCTGCCTGGCTGCCTGCCTATCGGTTGCTTACAGATACTGGAAGGAGGAAATCTTTAGGACTGGTTTCAGCTGAAGCTGGCAAACCTAGGGTGACAAGCTTGGAACTCCATGAGATTTCTCTATACCAGTGGTTCTCAACCTTTTTAATGCTGCGACCCCCAACCGGTCGTAAGTCGAGGACTAAACTGATCGTAAGTCGAGGACTAAACTGGTCGTAAGTCGAGGACTACCCAACCGGTCGTAAGTCGAGGACTTTTCCTGCCCGGGAGCGCCGCACATGTGTGGTTCCGCCCCCTGTGCCGGCCGAGGCGTAGCTGGCAAGCGGCAGAGACGGAGCAGGCCGACCACCAGCTGGCCCAGCCCAAGGGAGGTAAGGCACCCGCCGGAAAAGGGGGAAAAAAATGGCGGACAAAAAAAATGGCGGACAGCCTTGCTTGGCGACCCCAGTGAAATGGTCGATCGACCCCAAATGGGGTCGCGACCCATAGGTTGAGAACCGCTGCTCTATACATTCTGCATTCTCTTCCTTTTGAAATGAGCACATTTACCCATCTGACTCATCTTGCTATTGGGTAATTATGGTAAAATTTTCAGGAGGACGTGTAGTAATCCATGAGATTAATATTTTGCATTTTTATCTACTTTTCCAAAAAATACAAATATAACTTTCTTTAATATAACTAACTTTAATTTAACTGTAGGCAGTTAAAGTCACAGCACTTACTAAGTCTCTGTGAAGCACCCAGTTTGCATGGAGATAATGGATTCCATCAAGAATCTGATAAAGTAGTGATTTGACCATAGATCTTGGCAGCTGCATGGGTTTTTTGTTTGCTTTTGAAGCACGGTGAAACTTGATAATATGCTGGAAACAAAAAAGAACACAAACATGAAAGCATCATGTAAAAAAAAAAACCCCACAAAATAATTGCGAAAGATGAAAGTCTTTTAATTTTGAAATCTAAAAATTGGAATTAAGTATGAGCTTTTTATATCTAATATTAAAGAAAACGTAACAGTGAAACATCACATTGTTTCCTCAGCTTTAAAGGTACATGAATTGAAACAGATTTTGTTTCTGACGTTTTCATGAAATTATAGTTCTAAAACCATTTTAATATAATTCCCCTAACACCTTTTTTTTTTTAAAAAAAAAATAAAGACTTAAAAGCTCTGAAATATTTTATGGACTGCATCTGGAACAAATTTCAGAAATATGACAAATTTGCCTATTTGGCTTTGCTTACCTTACAGGTTGATGGTAAAACAATACAGATTAGGAACTTTTTGTTTGAACATTTATCAGTAATTGAATAAGAAAGGAAACTAACGCAAAATGAAAACAGAAACAATGAAGTCCATGGGGCCCTAAATCCCTAAATTTTCCTTTGGTTCAATCTTCTCAAGCGGATACCCACTAGGCATATTAGATGACAATTTCCAGGATTCCCATTCATTGTAGTCTGAAAGTTTGGGAAGGCTTCCAGGCTTTTGGTTGATCTTGAATTCAAAATCCATTTCAAACCCAAGGCACCCTTTTCAGGTCAGAAATGGGCTCTCCAGGGTATGAAAACAGTAATGCATATTTTTCTAGATATTTGGAAAAATGTTGGCAGCACTTCAGTGCTAACAGAAAACATTAATATGATCCATACATTATAATGTAGTAAACTAGAACAATTTTCCCAGTGCAAAAACTCAGCTAGGAAACATTGGATAATAAGATGCAGTCTCTTCACTCTTCTGTACAATATCTCTCTCTCCTTTGCTTCTGAATTCCAATGTAGAAATATCTGGAGCTTTTTCCAAAATGAAATGTTCAAACTGGAAACAAACCCCGGAATGCCCATTCTTCATTCTATCTCCAGCATGTAATCCCCCTTGATTGGTCATTTCTCAATTAAATTTAGATTTACATCTGTGCAGATGCTACTAACCTATACCACTTAATCCTGTATGTATGAGAATCAGATAAGATTCTATCAATTCATTTCAAATTCCAATAGATGGTTGGATTAGATGGTTCCAATAGAAGAAAATATATGTAGCTCAAAGTTGAACGATGTAGTTCTGGTGCTCTCTGAGCTTGGTTGTTTGCTTGCAGTGTGGCAGAATGCCCCAAAATATACAAGCCCAACATATCTCTTTGTCCAAATGTATAATTCCCAGGAATCCTAACATGAAACACAGCCAAAGAACTTATAAAAAAGCTTGGACATCTCACAGAGGGGAGTGAATATTCCATCAACTCCCCCACTACAATGCCTTCAGAAAATCAAAGACCTAAAATAGAAGATGAAATGATGGTTTCATTCAATGTCCCAGCATTCTCTACATCCATAAATCCAGAAATAGTGAAAAAAAAAATCCATGGCAGAAATATTACACAACACATCCAACCTAGCCAAATATACTAAGATTGAAATACCAGAATCATAGACCTTTGCTTACTATCTACTTTCAGTTTGATGAACAAATGTGCCAACAAATCTGAGGAACACCCATGGGATCATCACACTCAAGACTTATAGTAGAGATCATAATTCAGTGTCTAGACCAGGGCTAGGCACTATAGCACTTCCAGATATACCAAAAGTATAGAATCTTCTTCATAATAAAAAAGAAACAATTAAAAAAGACATATGAATTCATCAACATATTCAAAGAAATAAAATTCACAAGGGAAGAAGAAAACAACACACTACCTATTTTGTATCCACATTGGCAGAGAAAATAGTAGCACATTGGAAATGCTACTATGAAAAAACAACCCCACTAACCAAGTGCTGCATTACTAAAGGAACAGCTCAACCTCCCACAAGAGGACCTGTATAAAAATATTACTCAGATAAGTACAAATGCACTGTAACAATCCAGAACACCAAAACAAAGAAAACAAACCACCTATATAACATATTCCAACAATATGGATATCCACACAACTTTATAAAAAAAGTGCTTGACCACTCAATCCACTGCAGCACAACCAACACAAACTATGAAAAAGATAACACTACCATATATCAAAAATCTCAGAAACCAACACAGTTACAACTACACAACATTATTATAGCACACAAAACCAAAGCTTTCCAAAACATCCTAGGTAAACCAAAAGTAACACAAGAAAAAAAAGTCATCTACAACAGAGAATGTAAAGACTGTAACCAGTCATTATGTAGGTCAGATAGGTAGAAGATTAGCAGAGAGTATCCATGAACACCAACTAGCAATCAGAAGATGCAATGAAAATCCCATAATCTCACATGGATAGAGTCAACCATAATTTCAACTGGGAAACTATGTGCATCCTAGACCAAACTAAATCCAAAAACATTAGAGAATTCTTGGAAGCTTGACATTCAAACAATTCAGGAATCAACAGACACATAGAAATATAGTAAACCATATTTATTCACCATTCAAAAGAGACAAAAAATGAAGAAGAAAATAATAAAAAAGCAGAATACATCCTCTCCAGCAGCCATCACCCAGATAAACAAGGATTAACACTAGGGAAATAATCAAGCAAGCAGGAAACAATACCCTAATCAAGAAATTATCAAGGAGATAACCATATCCCCACCAAAACCGGCAGGGCAAGCAATGTATATAAACAAGAATCAAACCATGCACCCACTTGCACTGATGGTGTTACCTAGTTAGGTAACGAAACATTTGTAGGCAAACAACCAAGCTGAAAGAACATCAAGGACATCACAACTAGATGGTTACTATCGATGACAAATGTAATGCAAAACTTTATTTAAACTGTCAAGGAAAGGGATGGGAAAATGTATATGAAAGTATGAATGAGTAATGAGAAGAAAAATGTCAATTCGAGGCTAATTTGCAAATGATGGTTAGCAGAAAGTCAGAATTACATTTGCATTAGTCTTAAATAAACCCAGGGGAATAATATGACTTTCATACACCCATCGAGATTTTAAGTACTGAATAACATTCTTAAGGACTGAAGTGAAGAAGCACAAGCTATCCACAATACAGAGTCTTTATAGAAAAGGAATCTGAAGGACTCCAACCTATAACTTCCAAAAAAGGAATGTTGAAAAGCAAAATTATTTCAGTTATTGCTTATCACATAAGTTGCTAATTCAATACACACAAAAGAGCCCCATGGATTAATAATGAATTAAAGCCAAAACAAGTAGTGTTTCTCTTGTTGACACAGATCAACAGAAAAACAAATGGCAGTACTACAAATGCGAGCTTTTTTCTCCAATTAAATTGGTATGTAACCATAATAATAGGAAAAGTCAATGCATAACAACATCCTTTCAACAAATGAATATTTATCTAACAAAACAATTCCTTAAAATATTATTGATATAGATATCAAGAAATGAAGAGAATGCTTGCCCCTAAAACAAATACAGTATAATAAAATTGATGGATGTTACAAATGGTATAAGATCAATTATCAAATATTAAAGACTGCCATGTTTTTATTCAATATCTTCACCCACCAAATATGCCTTTGCTGTTTTGTTATTAGTCCTGCTCCCAATCTGGGAGGCAAAATGGTGGTAGGCAGCCCAAAGTGTTTGCAACATTATAACTCTCTTCTGAGTTGGGAAGGGAAACTGGGGATGGCAACGTTAATACGTGAAAGCTACGAAGATGCTCCGACTGATTTCTCAGTACATAACTAATTAAGTTCCTAACACTCATACAGGAAAGGGTTTTCTGGAGAACGATAAATATCAACCCATCAATATTAATGGTCACATAGGGAAATTATCTTTTGACATAGAATTTGGCCCTGCAAATTCTGGGTTAGGTTCACCCTGACAATAAATTAGTTAATATTTTAATCTGTATACTATAAGAGGAAAAATGTGAAATGAGAAATTATGTTGGCTCCAAGGCAAATCAATGACTTCTGATGACTTGTTCAGGATTTAAATTGGGGTCTCCCCACACCTTTACTGGCTATATACCATGCTGGCTCTCAGTATCAAGTATAAAAGAATAACCCCTCTAGGCTATCATCTTCTCTGTCCTATAAAGTTTAAATGCTATAATTTTTTTTTTAGAATGAAGCATATAAACTAGTAGAACACAGAGAATGTTATGGTGTGACAAAAGAAATATGTTCCTAAGCATGTGGATTTCAACACTGTTTTTTGAAGGAGGAGAGCTTTACATACGTTGACTGGGAGGCTGTTCCAAGTGTAAGAGGCAGCATGGAAAGAGACAAAGTTGGGAGTGAGCAAAAAAAGACAATGGGGAAATATGGAGAGATGCTTAGGATAATTGAGAGGGGGAGCTATTCAGACCATGAGGGATATTAATTTGGGCCATCACCAAATGTAAGAAAAGCACATTATAAATAGTTTTCAATTCTGTACAGCAAGAAAAAAATTGCATGGGTTCAAAATCCGGCAGCTATCAGGACAACATTTTCTTCATATTTCATTTCGCTTAAAGTTCTTCACTAGCCCCAAGTTATCATTTTTTTTAAAAAAAACTCTCTTGCTCACAGTGGTACATGATTACTCAATGTTAAACCAGTAAAACTGCTTTCTACACTTCACTGAAAGAGAGGGAGAGGGAGGGAGAGAGAGAGAGAGAAATCTATTTGGAGAGCAATAATGTTGCTGACTTCTAGGTTTCAAGAGATGATTAATTGTTCCTGTGCAAAAACAAAAGAACAAGAAAAGTTGCACTAGAGAAAGTGAAGGGTTGTGGAAACGACCAATTTATATTTACTCCATTGAATGAGAGCCCTTAATATAGAATATTCCAAGAATCAAATAGGCAGGGTCAATCATGTGGCTACTTCGCAGCCAAGCGGAAGAAAAATATTTGGGTGGGAAGGAACAGCAGCATATGTCCTGTTCATCTGGTTTGTATTATATAACAAAATGGCATGGGAACATACCATGCAGGAAGTGGCTCCCTGAACAATGCAGGTAAATGTGAAGTGGTCATTATTCTAACAATTGGACGGGAAATATATAACATTTTAATGAGTTGCATGCTTTATTTCAAAAATACTAGAAAGTGAACAAAAAAAAACATTCACAGTACAAACACATGCAAATATTGGCACCATCTGTATGAAATGATATAGCCTAGGAATTTGTGATAATGGTGTATTGCACATATCGAGACACTGTAAGCTAGGGAGCATATTAGGAAGAATGTACACTTTGCATTATGACTTTACAACAGACAATCAACAAGAAAGAGTGCCCCTACAAAACTATTGTCAGATGGTTCTCTTTCAAACAAAGCATGCAGTATTCAGGTGGCAAGAACTGCACACTGGATTATTAAACATGCTTCCTATTATAGCGGCCATACATTCTTCTGTAGCTGCTTTTAAAAGCAAACAACTAAAACACAGAGATAACATTTTGTGCATATCAAATGAAGCTTTTCATAACGAGACTATGGCACTTTTGAGCTATGAAGTGTACATTTACTCTTGGTGTAATTAACTTTGATGGAGAAAGCTTCCAGAGTGGATGCAAAGTTAGTAAAACTATAAGAACAAGACTCTCCAATAAAATTATATGGCGCATGCAATAGCATGAAGTCTCATGACTTTATATTATTTTCATCCAAGTTTCTCTTTGGTTGGAACAGTTTATACACATAATTTTCTTGACAGTAAAGTATTACTCACGGGTTTCATAATGAGTTTTCATCATACTGTTTAAGCAACACAGTAATTTGTCTCTAGCAGATCTAACTTTCATGTTAATTTAATATTCATTAAGCATAGCTTGAACTGATCCGGCAAAAAGAGAAGAGGAATATTTCCCTATGAAACCTATCACAACATGCTGCAAAAGGCAGATATTTCATTTCATATTAAACGTAATAGTTCAAAATCATTACACTAATTGCACATATAAAATCCTAGCTTACAGTTGAAATCTGAATGAGTTCTTTCTTATATGATCTTCAAGACCACCTTTGAGTTATACTGCGGCTGCCAGTATGTAGCGCAGAGCTTTCAAAATCTTTAATTCTAAAGCACTTTCTGAGGCCAAACTGGAAGATAAATGGGAAAGCTGGCTAACATTTTTGTTTCTTCCTAAAAGCAGCCAGCCACTGGGTTTCTCAAACTGGATTGCAGACCAGAAGTATTGGAGTGAGAGGCAATGTCAGTTTCTCCCTCAGCTGGAAATTTGCTCCACTGAGGAAAAATACAGGAAAACCCAATCACTTGGGAATCTTTTAAATAGAAGGAGAAATTAATTATTTATAATTGCTATCATAAAGATCTTAATATCATTTCCTGTGGCAAAAAGTCCTGACATAGTTTACAAGTCCACTACAAACGATCCACTGGAAAAGAAATGTCAGTGGCTGGGAGAGGTTGATGCCTGGGAAAGTCTAACACCAAAAGTTTAAATTTTACAAGTGACCCAAGGCATAGACATGTTGGAATCTTGAGTGTGTACACCAGTTCAAATGAAAAAAACTAGAGGAGGAATTACTAAATGTATATTTCTTTGTGAAAGAACTGTGAACTTCACTTAGTTCTGATGGGTAAAATACATTCTTGGTGTCATTGTAATTAAAATCTGAATTTAAATACATATTTCTCCCCCATCAGACAAAAAAAACTCCTCAGGGTTTGAGTAAAACCAGAATTATTACTAAGTGTAGCTCTGTCTAGTCCTGTTCTAGACACAGACAGATCCTTACAGTGCCTATTCTCTGAGCATGGTTAAAATATTACCTTTCATTAATTAGTTCTATTTATAACTGTGGAAACCTACAAGCTCAATGATATAATGGTACAATTGGCCTACAACTCTTAACAACTAAGTTATGGAAGGAAATTACATATTTGATTTCCAAAATAATTTTTTTTTTAAAAAATGACATTGATCTTTGGCCAGGAGAACAGAAAACACATAGGTAGTTAAGCTTTTTTCACTCTTAAATCCTGTGGGAAAATGAAACTGAGAACAGTTCTGATACCACACTGCTGTAACTTGTGGATAGTTATGTATCTCAAAATGGCATTAGGGCCTCCTCCAAAATGCCTCTATCTGTTTCTCCTTGTTTTTTGTAGCCAATAATGGTTTTAAGGTAGGGTAAGGCTTTCAGTATATGAATTCCAAATCACATCATACACAGAACATACAATTAAGCCTCTAAAGATTTTAATTACTTAAATAAATGCACAGCAATCTCAACTTCTCAGGAAAGGCTAATGGGGAGTTTTTCAGTTTATGTTACTTTTTTTTAAAATCCTAAAAACATTTCTGCATCTTCAGAGACTACCTGATTATATCTCATAAGGAAATTTTTCAATACAACGTATAAGGAAGACAGACACGTGGATTTCATCCTGGTTGCTCTTTCCTAACACGTTTTGGGTAGCTATATAGGTCAAGATACCACGTGAGATTGGGCAAAGGTTTCAAATCCATTCTGACTGCAGTTACTTCTTTTAAAACATAACATAATTCCAGTGGAAAAAAAAAGGAGCTTCAGAACTTACCCACAAATCATGTTCAGCATAATCAAACAGCAGCCACACCTTTCTATCACTATGAGAAAGGAAAACCTTCTGTAATGCAATCACATTAGGGTGCTTCAGTTCTCTCAAAAGCTGCAAGTAAAGAGACAAATAACATAAATCTTTCCACACAGTACCAATAAACAAAATGCTTTAATTAGTGAAAGAGATGTTGTCGATAAAATTATTCTTTTTCATTCCAACAACTCTGAAATAATCTGTGAACAAAGTAGAAAGCTTGTTTTTCCATTTAGTAGAAAACGATATTTTTTTAAAAAAGACCATTGCATATTTGGATGCAAGTTTTGCTCCCTCTGCAAGAAACATCCAGACCAGTTTTAGTCAGGAAATGCTCCCCTTGATGGAAGGATAGGTAGTAATTTTGGTTTACAATCCCTCACTATCTACATTTTATCCCACTTCCCAATCAATCTCAAGGTTTGGGGAAAGCAACACAGAAGGAGACGGTCACAGCAGGAAAAATGTGAGAATTGATTCTTTTTATCAAAAGCCTTCCATGGAAAACTTAATATTCAACAGAACAATATACCGAAATCCATCAAAATTTATCTATATTACCTATAGCAAACCTTTTAGAGACCGAGTGCCCAAACTGCAACCCAAAACCCACTTATGTATGGTCGGGTGCCAGGTGGGCATGGCCCATTGGGTGGGTGTGGCCAATTGGTGGGCATGGCCAATTGGGTGGGTGTGGCTGCGGTAGTAACGGCAGACTGGATGGGACTAAAAATTTCAACCAATCAATTCCAACTTTGCGAGATCTTTTTTTCCCCGCGAGAACTTGAAATTGATTGACTGAACCTTTTTTTTTTTTTGCACACGGCGGCGAAGGCCTAAAGCGAAAAGGTTTTATAAAACCCAGTTGAAGGTCTAGAACTGGGGCAACAGCGCACATGCCCACAGAGAGGGATCTGCGTGCCACCTGTGGCACGCTTGCCATAGGTTCGCCACCACGGACCTATAGGAATAAGAGAAATATGGAATCTTTGTTGCTCTTATTCTCCCATTCCTATTTCCTTTCTAAATGTATGGTAGAGCTATGCTCTACCCAAAGTTATGATGGGAATCAAGTGGCTAGGGCAAAAGACAGGGTAGCCTTTTCAATAGCTCCCAGTTCAGACTGATTTATATGATACCAATGAAGGAGAATGAGTTACGTGAGTTATGTGAGTTGGCCTTTTTGAGTATTCTATGGATAGAAACATGAAATAGTGGTTATAGCCTGAATGCGGCATATTAATTAATTGATTAATTAATTAATTAATTAATGCCTTGCTCTTGGATTAGAGTGACACAAGTTCAAATTCACCCTCAGACGTGAAAATTCAAAAGTTACTTTCAATCAGTTATTTTCTTTCAGCCTAAGCGTCTTCAGAGGGTCGCTATGGGAATAAAAATCTAACCAATAAAATAAATATGTATATTGAATACTTGTAATAATTATTATTTCAGAACACTGCAACATGAAAAGTCTCCAAAGTGTTCACATATAGCTGGAATATCTCCTATTTCTGCAGGAGTGTAGCAAACATACAAATCATTAATTTCTGATTCAACAAAGGCAGGCAACCTATAGACTATGATCACAATACTCCCCTTTCTGCCTGCCAGGAATCATGTATCCTTTCCCAAAACAAAGATATAGTGAATATACACTAGATGGCAACTACAGCTAGCAGTCTTCTCTTTAAAAAAAAAACCAACCTTCTTATTTAACACACATGCTTTCATTTTTTAACAAAAAACCTGCATTTGTTTCATATTAAACAAAAACAAGGAATATTTGCCCCTGCATCTCAGATTACCCTGTCATTACATTTTGATGTGATTTTGGCATCCATCCTGGTTTTATGAGGCAAACCACAAAAAGGCACTGGTTCACCAGTATATTTTGTTTTAAGCCTCCTGATTTCCTCTGAATGTCCCTTTGGAAGCTGTCGGTACTAGCTAGCAAAAATGATCAGAAGTGCTCTTTGTTTTCTATCCTGAACGGATGCCATTATCCCCAAATCTGATTAGTACAGATCTCAACTTTACGATCACAAACGGGGCCTAAATTTCTGTTGCTAAGCAAAACAGCTGTCCTAAAGGTGCTTTTTTCAAGAGGCAACTGGGCTTTGTTTTTCTTTGAAAAAGTTTCACTTCTCATCCAAGAAGCTTCTTCAGCTCTGACTGGATGGTGGGGAAGGGAAGGGTTTATATTCCTTGCAGACAGCAGGTCATTTGCAGTCTTTTAGTGAGTCGTTGAGGCCACATGGGGGTTTGTCTGTGTCCTCAAGGTCACCTGAGTAGTACAAATAAGTGTGGAGCCTTCTTGGAACTGCTGAAAGGACTGTGTTGTGGAGCTGTGCTTTCTGCAGGGTGTTTTCTATTCTGTGTCCCTTCACGGTTGACACAGGGCAAAAAACATCATGCAGAAAGCACAGTTGCCTCTTGAAAAAGCACCTTTGAGACAACCATGATCTAGATCAGGGATTTTCAACCAATGGTGCGGGTACCACCTGTGGTACATTGGCACCTGGCAGGTGGTACGTGACCATCCTAGAAAAGTGATAGTGGGGGAGGGGAATGAGCTGAACCGGTGGCAGCACTGCACAAGCCTGAGCGAGAGATGGCTGGAGCTGCAGGGCTGTCGGGGCTCAGCGGAAGTGCCAGGATTAGCGCCAGGCTCCAGCTGGAGCTCGGCGCTGATCCTGCGCTTCTGCTGAGCCCAGAAGAAGCACCGATCAGCTGGAATGTTGCAGCATCTCCAGGGTCTTGTGATTTACATTCAGATGCTTGGCAACTGATTCATATTTATGACGGTCACAGTGTCCCAGGGTCATGTGAAGTGACCAAAACCTGCTGCAACCACCCAGCAGACGGGGGGAAATAAAAACCAAACACCCCCCACCCCACCCCCTCTGCCAATCCTCAACAGAAATGCTCACAACAATGAAAACCTCAGACAGGAAGAAGAGCGCCGCTGGGCGGGCAGGCGTCTTGCTCGGCTGTGGCTTGGCGGGCACTTTTTTCAGTGCCATTGTAACTTCGAACAGTCACTAAGCGAACTGTTGTAAGTCGAGGACTACCTGTACTTTCTCGCTTTTTTCCTTTTTTTTTTTTTTGGGGTCATCAAGTTTTTGACACCTTGCTAGGCGACTGGTGATACTTGGATGTTGCCATATCCTAAAAGTGGTACAATCGGTGAAAAGGTTAAAAAGCCCTGACCTGACTAAGAATCTCCATAGATATTAAGCAAGACAGTTGTTAAGTAAGTTGTGCCCCATTTAATGATCTTTTTTGCCACAGTTGTTAAGCAGATCATTGCAGTTTTAAGTGAATCATGCATTTCTTAAATGAATCTGGCTTCATCACATTACTCTGGGATAGTGCAACTGTCACAAATACAAGCCAAATTTTGATCACATAACCATGGGGATGCAACAATGCTTGTAAGCATGGAAACGAGTCATAACTCACTTTTTTCAATGCCGTTGTAATTTCAAACAGTCGCTAAACAAATGGTTGTAAGTCAAGAACTACCTGTATATAATTTTATTACAGTAAGTCAATCTAGGTTTCTTAACTGAAAAGTGAAAGATTTTTTTAATATGTAAAACTTTCATAAATCATTCAGGTATTTTATTGTTCAAGAAATATTCTGTGCTCGTTTATATTCTGTACTTCCCTTCAGTAGAAATGAGCATGGAAATTGAAGTAATATTTCAACATGACATGTAAAACTGTTTCCAGAATGTGTGTTTCAGGTTTCAGACTATATAACTATAACCAAGCTTTAAATATTTGGAATGCCAAATGAACAAATTGAATAAACACCCTGGCTTTTGCTCCACTGATTATTAAGAACAAACACAGTATTATAAACATTTGGTAAAATATACATGTCATTAAAATAACGTAAATTAGTCTTACAAAACATTGTACTCTGTACTTAAAAAGAAGTCAAGTGTGAACTTCAAAAAGTTATTACTTTTAAACTAGTCATTTTTCAATAATTTGATGTTTCTTTTATTAAGTTATCATTTAAAACAAGTAATTGGATCCATTATTTTGTAGTGCAGCCTTTGAACAAAAATTATCCTTTTCACTGATGAACTGAAAGGATTTTGAATCATTTCAATACATGAACCTTCTAAAATTACCAAATGCTAAACAAACTGCAAAATTAATATCTTATATACTAGGTATGTCATTATGGGTATTTCCATAATCTTTGAATGTAAACCTTTGAGAGTATCTTTGTAACAGAATATACCCATAATTTACAATAGAATTTTAAATATATTGCTCAGAAAGTTCATGAATAATTTGCAATAACAGAAAAATACAGCAGTGAAGCAGCAGATTCTCATAAAAGGGAAAACAATAGAGAGAGAGAATAAATCTTTTGTCATAGAAGTATTAAAAAGCTTCTAGCCACCTATGAATCTTAGACCAAAACTTTTTAGCATTAGGACATATCCACCAGAGATGGTAATAAGTGCCTGGTTGTTGTTTACATTTCCAACACATATTTGATACATTTTTAAACATTTTCTCTAATCTAACTGGTGTCATGTGCCATCTATAAAACATTTTATATAGATTTTCCTTATATGCAGCTGCTTTAGTAAATTTAATATTTCGGTCCCATAGTTTTTGCCAATCTTCTAAATCTATAGAATAACCAAAATTCTTTGCCCACACTATCATTGTTTCTTTCACTTGTTCTTCTTCCATCTTCCAGTTTAGCAGGAATTTATAAAGTTTCTTAATCAGATTTTCATCTGTTTTCAAAAGTATTTTATCTAGTGTTATTTGTTCTTTGTAAGATCCCATTACTTTTACATCTTTTTCATATCTTGTTTGAATTTGCAAATATGACCACCATGTTAAATCAATGCCAGTTTGTTGAAGTTCTTGCCTATCTTTAAGTTTTCCTTCTTTATCTAAAATGTCTTTATAGGCCACAAGTTTGTCATAGTTAATTAAATTCGGATATGCAAATGCTTCCATTGTGGAAAGCCACTCAGGTATTTTCGTATAAATTTTCTTTTTAACTAATACATTCCTTATGGCATGGGTTTGGA